AAGAAATCAAAGAATAAATTTAAAAATACCTGGAAACAAAACCAAACCAAAATGATCCAAAACCTATGGGACGCAGAAAAAGCAGTTCTAAGAGAAACGTTTACAGCAATACAAGCTTACCTCAGGAAACAAGAAAAACTTCAAATAAACAACCAATGTTTACACCTAAAGGAGCTAGTAAAAGAAGAACAAACAAAACCCAAAGTTATTAGAAGGAAAAATGATACAGATCAGAGTAGAAATAAATGAAATAAAGACAAAAAAATCACTAGAAAAGATCAATGAAACTAAAAGCTAGTTCTTTGAAAAGATAAACAAAATTGAAAAACCTTTAGCCAGACTCATCAAGGAAAAAAAGAGAGGGTTCAGGAAAAAAAGAGAGGGTTCAAATCAATAAAATCAGACATAAAAAAAGAGAAGTTACAACCAAAACCACAGAAATACAAAGGATTGTAAGAGATTACTCTGAATGACTATATGCCAATACTATGGACAACCTAGATGAAATGGACAAATTCCTAGCAATGTACAATCTCCCAAGACTAACCCAGGAAGAAATAGAAAGTATGAGCAGACTAATTACCAGTAATGAAATTGAATTTTTTTTTTTAATTTGCAAAAAAACAGAAGTCCAGGACCAGTTGTCTTCACAGGTGAATTCTACCATTCAGAGAAGAGTTAACACCTATCCTTCTTCAACTGTTTTTAAAAAAATGGCAGAGGAATTAACACTTCCACACTCGTTCTATGAGGCCAGCATCATCCTGATTCCAAAACCAGACAAAGATACCACACACACAAAATTTACAAGCCAGTATCACTAAAGAACATAGATGCAAAAATACTCAACAAAATTTCAGCAAATGAATCAAACAATACATTAAAAGGATCATGGGTCAACATTTGCAGATCAATCAATGTGATACACCACAGTAATACATTGAAGAATAAAAGCCATATGATCATCTCAACAGATATAGAAAAAGCTTTTGACAAAATTCAACATCCATTTATGATAAAAATTCTCCAGAAAGTGGGTACAGAGGGAACATACCTCAGCCTAATCAAGGCCACGTATAATAACCCCACAGCTAACACCATACTCAGTGGTGAAAATCTGGAAGCTTTCATCAAAGATCAGGAACAAGATAAGGATGCCCACTCTCACATTTTTAGTCAACATATTGGAAGTTCTAGCCACATCAAACCAGACAAGAAAAAGAAAAGAAATCCAAATTAGAAAGGAAGACGTAAACCTGTCACTGTTTGCAGACGACATGGTAGTATACACAGAATATCCTAAAAGACAGCACCAGAACTACCAGAGCTCACCAGTGAATTCAGTAAAGTTGCAGGGTACATAATTAATATACAGAAATATGTTGCATTTCTATACAATAACAATGAACTATTAGAAAGCAAAATTAATGAAACTATCCTATTTACAATCACACTGAAAAGAATAAAATACCTAGGAATAAATCTACCTAAGGAGGCAAAAGACCTGTACTCAGAAAACTGTAAGACACTGATGAAAGTGAAGACAACACAAACAGATGGAAAGATGTTCCATGTTCACGGACTGGAAGAATTAATATTGTTAAAACTGTCATACTACTCAAGGCAATCTACAGATTCAGTGCAATCCCTATCAAAATACCAATATCACTTTCCACAGAACTAGAACAACTAATTTGTACAGAAACACTAAAGATCCCTAATAGCCAAAACAGTCTTAAAGAACAGAGCTGGAGGTATCACACCCCCTGACTTCAGGCTGTACTGCAAAGCTTTAGTAATCAAAACAGTATCATACCGGCACAAAAACAGACACGTAGATCAGTAGAACAGAAAAGAGAGCCAGAAATAAATGCACACACTTATGGACGAAGACTCTACAACAAAGGAGGCAGGATACACAATGAAGGAAAGACAGTCTCTTCGATAAGTGGTGCTGAGAAAACTGGACAGCTACATGTGAAAGAATGAAATTAAAACATTTTCTAACACCATATACAAAATAAATTCAAAATGGATTAAAGACCTAAATGTAACACTGGAAACCATTAAACTCCTAGAAGAGACATAGGCAGAACACTCTTTGACATAAATCATAGAAGTTTTTTTTTGATCTCCTAAGACAAAGGAAACAAAAGCAAAAATAAACAAATGGGAGCTAATTAAACTTAAAAGCTTTTGCACAGCAAAGGAAACCATCGACAAAACAAAAAGACAACCTACTGAATGGGAGAAAATATTTGCAAATGATATACCAAGGGGTGAATATCCAAAATACATAAACAGCTCATACAACTCAGCATCAAATAACAAACAACATGACTAAAAAATGGGCAGAAGATATGAGTAGACATTTTTCCAAGGAAGGCATACAGATGGCCAAAAGGCACATGAAAAGATGCTGAGCATCACTAATCATCAGAGAAATGCCTATCAAAACCACAAAGAGATATCAATTTACATCTGTCAGAATGGCTATCATCAAAAAGACCATAAAAAACAAATGTTGGGGAGGATGTGCACAAAAGGGAACACTTGTGCACTGTTAGTGGGAATGTAAATTGGTGCAGCCACTATGGAAAGCAGTATGGAGGTTTCTCAAAAAAAATAAAAGCAGAACTACCATATGATTCAGCACTTCTACTCCTGCATATATATATATCCAAAGAAAACAAATGCTAATTCAAAAAGGTGCATGTGCACCCCAAAGTTCATAGCAGCATTATTTACAATAGCCAAGATATAGATGAACCTAAGTGTATATCAGCTGATGAATGGACGAAGCCGATGTGGCATATGCATACAATGGAACAGTGCTCAACCACACAAAAGAATAAAATCTTCCCATTTGCAACAACATGGATGGAACTGGAGGGTATTATGCTTAGTGGAATAAGTCAGATAGAGAAAGACAAATATGTTATCATTTATATGTGGAATCTAAAAAATAAAACTAGTGAATATAACAAAAAAAGTAACAGGCTCAAAGATATAGAGAACAAACTAGTGTTTACCACTGGGGAGAGGGAAGGAGGGAGGGGCAAGATGGAGTAGGGGATTAAGAGACACAAACTACTATATACAAAATAAATAAGCTACAAGGATATAGTGTGCAGCACAGGGAATAGAGCCAGTATTTTATAATAACTATAAATGGAGTGGTAATCTATAAAACTTTTGAGTCACTATGTTGTACACCTGAAGCTAATATAATACTGTAAATCAACTATCAATAAAAAAATAGATTGGGTGCGGTAAACTGCTCAGCAAGTTGCTTTCACATTAAGATTCATTTAAAGGCAACAGATGGAAGATAAAGAGCTGGGCATTGCAGCAGCACAAAAATCAATGCGTTTCTTTTAAGGCAAAGAGGTTTTGAGATTTGCTACAGAAACTTACTGCCATGAACGTCTAAAAACCTCCCAAACTAGGCTGATCCTCTTTAAATTTCTGAAGTAGAAACCTACCTGTAGCCTGAGAAGTGGTGTATGATTGATCCAGCTGCCAGGCATCAGAAGACGGGTTCCTTACGATTGTCTGTAGTAAAATGTCCCACCACTACACAGGGCAAAAATTGGAGAGCTTTTGAAACTGCACACAAGCACTTGAAAGGTAATGGTGAATGGAAACACCTGCAAGAAATGTATCACTTTTATTAAGAAACAATGGTTGTACAATTTAAGATAAAAACCAGGTGTCCGATGAGTTGTTTCAGAAGGTAGAAAATTGCTCTTTGTGAGAAATCATGGTAAAAAGACTCATTCCATTTGTTGGGCCAAACATTTTATTCACAGAATCTTCCTTTCCTTCTTAACTCTCTGCTCAAATAACTCATAAGGCTGGAAGCCGACATTTGATATTTACACAGCTCAAAATCTGAATGCTCACTAATGTTCTACATCCTCCACTGCTGTCTAGTCCCTCCTCCTCCTCCAGTCTTTGTTCTTAAATTGTAATGCTGAATCAAGAGCTCAAAGGCTGAATAAATCAAATCCCCACCAGCCCTCCCCTAGCCCCACACCACATAATCTGTTAGGAAATCCTACTTTAAAAATCATCCTCTTTTTTGGAGGAGGATACCATTCTCTGGAATGAAAGCAACTAGCACAGAAATGACTTGTGATTGCAAGTGATACACAAAGACAGTTTTATTGCTCTGGGGAGTAACTACTGCTTCTCTCGTTGTTTCACGGAAGTCTTCTTTACATCTGAAAAGAAATAAATAATTCAGTGTGCCAAGGAACTGTTACAGCCTTTTCCCTTAAAAAATGTAAGTCATGACTTCTAAATGTAGACCAAGCTCTTCCCCCCACCTATCTGTGGTACCCTTGTAGCTTGCCTTACTTGACTGAAATTGAGGAAATTTGGTAGGATGCTTAGTGATTTCATAGGTAAAGCTCAGGGAAGTGGTGTCAGTATGATACCGAGACGAGAAAAGGGCAATGTGCCCCAGGCACCAGCCAATACAAACCAACTACCTATGGTGAGGTTAAGGGTCACCCCAAGCAGCCTACTTCAAAAACTTCTAAGAATCCTAATAGAACCCTGAGGGCATGTCCTTGCACTGAGCACCGAATGATGTAAGACGCTAAGTCTATAATTCTCTGCCCTTCTCGCACCAGGTAACCAGAGAGCAAAAGCTGCACCCCACCCCATTCCTGGTGTGTGTCCTCCCTTCTGTCCCTGGCTTAGAATCTTAGGAATGTTTCCTATTTTTTGTGTTCCTGCCAACCAGCTGATGAAGAGTGGAAACAGGAATTAGAAACCATCATAAGGTAAGGGAATAAGATCTTAGCAAGCGTTCATTTACTCCTGGGATGCAAGTCAGACTCTGTGCAGGGGCTGGCAGTACGGAACTGAGTGAGATGTCATCCCTGGTCCCTCCCTTCTCTGCACTGTCCACTGTGAAGAAGCTGCTAGAAAGAGCACACAGAGTCTCCCACCCCAGCCTGGTACATACTGAACGTATTCTGACGCTTATGACTAGTTCTTTTACTGACAAATATTGTTTATACTCATTTTCAAATGTCACACCAATCAGTTAGTAACAATGGATTTTATCTATACTGACAGTTCTTTCAACCTAAGAATGAACTGTCACAGATGAGTTCCACGCACACTTTTCAGGATAAAGCTATTGAGAATAAAATGCTTTGTTTATCTAATAAGGGCAGAATTACTCATAATTCTGTTTACTCCTAGCCAAAGAGAAAAAACTACAACAAATGGAGGATCTCGATTTCAGATCTCCATGCCATTCTTCTCCATGTGCATCTGTCAGATGCTCAGGTCTTTGCTACAATGTCTGCCATGCCAGCTGGTCCACCAATGAGCACGTCCACTGGCCCAGAGCTAATTTATTGGTTTACGGTTATTCCCGACCTGGTGTTTTCCACATCCCCTCACCACAGGCATCTGGCACTGCGAGCGAAATCAGCTGGAGGTAGGTTAAAAAGAGCAAAGTATGAAAACTACTGTTTTCCAAATACAGACAGGAACGGTGGTAAGGATTCTCAGCCCCACCCTGAGCTGTAACAGAATATATAAACATTTTTACATTAACCCTTCACATTCATACTCATTACACATATACTCATATATTCCACCAGATATTCTCATCATCACAGACACCCCCACCCCAGTATCAGTGCTTATAACAGTGTATAACAGAATACACGCTACACAGATATATATACCCTGTAAAAATCCACAAAAACACCCAGAAGCCCCAAAGAATAGAGGCATAAACAGATACAAGAATAGAGCTGTTACTCAGCAGAAAAGTATCCAAGTGAACGGAGGCTGATGAAGAAACTGGAGATGGGGGTTAGGAAGTTAAAAAATATATGCAGAAGGGAGGAAAGGTGCTCAGGAAATGACCACAAGGTATTTATTAGAATCCTTAAAATATATCAGGTCATCTTCCCAGAAGAATGGAAAAGGTTTGGTGAAAGTGGCACAGACCAACTCAGCTTTCACGGTCTTTCTTCACTTGACGCAATGACCAAATTCAAGCTCCACAGCATTTCATTTTGGATAACTAGGCAGGAAGAAGGTACAAAAAAATCCAACTATTTGAATTGTGTCTAAATACTTTAGAACTTGATAGAAACTTTTCAAGTGCATTAATGGTTTTAGTTGGATAAAAAAGCAAATAAAGGGTCAAAATAAATTCTTATTAAAAAATGAAAAAGCATTTGTAATGTGACAAGAATTGTAGTAAAGAGTAGACATTAAATTAAAATAATTCACATGTCCACTGTTTTCTCCTGTTACCTCATCTAGGACTCTGGTCAAGCTGTGAAGTGGGCACACAAGTACACACACACACACAGTATGTTTTCTGTCTGGTCTCATTTGTTATTTGATCTTCTAAGGGTTTTGTTAACAAACTACACCCTCTATCTGTGGGGCACAAAATTACATAGTCTTGACCCAGAGAAAGAGGAGAGGACTTTAAGAGACCTTTCTCCTCCAGTTAGTGGGTATCTGACCCTCTGCAAAACGTCTTTTTTCCCTTTTAAAAGGGGCTGAAATCAATTTCAGCCTGGATTGAAAACTAAGTTAACCAAGGGGAATAAATTGTTTATAAAAATATTAATTGGCGTCTGTTAGATGTATTTTCTTATATCCAAAGACGAGAGATAAAAGCCAATTCCCACAGCATGTCCAGCATCCTGTTCTTACACGCGCTCATTGTGTTGTATGCGGGCCCTAATGTGCCCACACGTATCCTCCTGTTAATAAGACCAACAGAGGTATTCAGACTGAAAGGAACACATACTCACTAAAACCAGAATTTAAAACCTAATCGGCTCAGTTAAATGCTGTCTGTGTACATCAACACTGTTTCGGTTACTAGGAAAGGTGACATTTCCCATCAACATAAAAAGGGTGATTACTATAAATGTAAAGCTTTGTCCAGAGTTATCCTGTCAAGACTCCAGATATGCAGCAACCAAACAGCCCCGAGGGACAGGTTCTGCTACGAAACAGTAAGAAAAGTAGCTTTTGTTGTTGTTTAAGAGGATATTTAACACGTGGTATTCATAGCACCATCAGTCTGAGGACCTCTACATAGTTCAAGGACAGTACCTTTCGAGTCCGTGCACAGGTTTTCGCCTCATTCAGCATCGCTTAGCACAGACCCTCACTGGCACCGCACAGCTGTCCATGTCCAGGTCAACAAATTGATCTGAAAACCCTCTGACTTTGGAGAAACAGTAGCCACATTTTAGGTATCAAAAACCCCAAGGCAGCTTAAGAGACCTCCTCAAAGTGACCCAGTGGTTCTAGGACACTTATCTCAAACCCCATCAGAGAACAGCTCGACAGTGGAATAAACACACCTCCCCCTGGGCGAGCCCAGGAGACCCAGAGAGCCGCCTCTTGATCTAAGAACACAGCCTGCATCCAGCGCAAAAGGAGAGGCCTCTGTCCGGGTGCAAAGAGAGGAGCTGGTGAGTCTGCTGGCCTCCAGAGCACGTACCTGGGTGAGGCGGTGGAGGCCCAGGCTAAGTGAAGAACAGAAGATAAAAACACTGACTTCTGTGCTCCATTCTCCTCCTGAGTGATCACAAACCACACAAGAGCACACACACACACCTACACACACTACCCTGACCCTGGTCCTCTCTCTCAAAAGTATCCCATGGGAGGAAAACCAGACCTTTGAGATGATTAGCAAAAGAGGGTCATGTTTCTACATAGAATAAAACACATACCCCCACATAGCGATCAAGAACATTAAGATGCCTTATTAAAAAAATAAATAACGAGGAAAACTTTCCATGTTGGTTGTGATTTGGCCCGATTGACACATCACACCCACTAGAAACGGGTTTACTCATTAGCCTGACTAGTCATGACTCTATCAGAGATGCCGGGCAGAGCTGAATCTCTGAGTAAGAAGCCTTTCAAAGACCTGCCCACTTGGAACCAGCCCGGCAGGGGAGCCGTGGCTCTCTGGGTGCCACCAGGGCCAGGCTTCTCCTGGGCCCTCCTGGCGTTACCATCTCGGCTCCAGGCTGATGCGCTGCATGTAGAAGACTGAGCGGATATGTCTGTCTTTCCCAATTCATACACAACCTCTCTTTCTTATTAATGTTGAGCCGTAGAGGGATGCTGCAGGTTTGTTCTAAGTACAGAACACAGGAGGTGTGAAAGTGTATGACTTCTGCTTAGGAAAAAAAACCCCAGCAAAACGTGGAAAAGGATTCCCAGCGGGCCTGCTCCGGTGTCGGCAGGGCTCCTGGGGACGACCACTTCTCCCCCAGCACAGCAGAGAAGGTCCAGCCCCAGTGTCACCCGTGTCTCTGTTCCTTTGGCCACTTGTTGTTCCTGGTGAAGGTGCTTCAAGCGCCTGACTGACTGAAAAGTTGTGCTGAGGGGTGGCAGGGTGACAGAACAAGGGGACAAGGCCACAGGAGCATAATGACTGTTGTGGCCGGGAGTTTTCAGAACAGCAACAAAAGGGGTCATCTTGTCCGAGACCACGGATGTAAAACCAGCAGCTCTGGGGACGCAGACGTCAGTAAGCACAGTGCTGAATATTCTGGTAAACAAAACATACACCAAATGGACCGGCTGTTCAACCGTAGAGAACTGTTTTTTCTGTTTCAGGGTTGAGGGGCTTCTAATCCAGAGTCCACAAATGCCATCTTCATAGTCATGAGAAACCCGAGAAGCCCCCTCTGGGGATCCTCTGGTGCAGGGCTGGTTCGATGCTCGGGGGGTAATTCGGCGCGAACCAAGGTGAAATGCTGGCCGGCGCCGGCTCCCCTCTGCCTCCGCTCTCGCTCCTCCAGGCAGGCCTCAGTTCTTCTTGTCCTCCTTCTGAGGCTGGCCTTTGCTGGTCCCCAGGTTGTTCCACACCTCTGTGTACATGAGGGTCCCAAGGAAGACAAACAAGGTGCCCAGCCAGTGCCACAGGGTGAAAGGGTTCCGGAAGTACAAGATGGAGAAAATGAGGCTCACGAACTTGCGGAGAGTCACGACGAGCGTGACGGTGAGCGAGGCGCACTCTGTGGTGAGGATGAACACACCGCGGATGCACACGTACCTGGAGGGGCGGGGTTAAGGCGCTTTTCGGTGGACTACCGAGAGGTCAGCGGCAGAACCTTCTGGCAAGGCTCTGAGCTTCGATATTCCTACTGAAGGAACCAGAAAACGTGGGGATCAGCTACGGCTGCTCTGAGGCTCTCCCTTGGCCGAACACCCTGCAGAACTCCCGTCCGGCCATTCTGGTTGTGGGGCCTAACGTCGAAGGGCCTGAAGCCCTCCTATGATTATTCTGGATTCTTCTCACAGTTCACACTGAAGGCTGTCTCCCTAGTAATGACAGAGAGTAACTCTCAGTAAAGGCGAGCACATCCCTCTTTATTTGATCTGGTCCCGGGTCCTTCCACCCCCTCCTCTACAAAGGATCTCTGTAGGGCAGTCCTCTGAGGTGACTTCAGAGGAATGAGGTCAATCTCAGTTGTTTCAAAGATGATTTTTAGAAAGGGCTTGAGGTCATTCAAAAGAACGTTTTTAAAAAAAAGTAGGTTTTCATTAATTTGAAATTTTTGCAGAATTTTGAGACAGCTTGTGAAATATCCTAGGATGGTAGAAATCACAAAGCATTGGTGTCATATGCTAATTCTTGATTACCCACTGATTTCCACACCTGCACCTAGAGCTTCTCCTTCATGGTGCCCTGTGGCTGACTGACCCTCCGACCACCACTGTCTCTCCGGCCCCCGACAAAGGAGCTCGCTGGCTGGGCTTGTCTCCCACTTACTGCAAAACAGATCAAGGCAAAAACAAAACTCATGTCACTGCACCATTAGAAGAAAAGAATAAACTTTCCCGGGCCAAAATAACACAGAGATGACCGGATGGCAGAGGAGTGCAAAGGATACTGAGTGATGACATTCATGAGGAGGTAGAACCACATGATGGGCACTGTCACACCAATGCCTGGAACTTGATACAGTTCTGCAAAGATTAAGAGGGGAGACAGTTGCATCACTTTTGACGGCTTAAGTCTTCATCTTTTTTGAATCGAGTAATACAGATGAACATAACAGAGGCAGCAACGTTCTCTCTCGCAGAGAGATTTGGACCTTCCACCACTTTACTTGCCTTGATTCCAGAATATTATCAGCCTCAAGAGTCATTACACTGGTTCCTTAAAACAAATTATAATTTATTTTACTTTTAAAATAGACTCTTTACCATTTGCCTGAATAGGACCCCACTTTACAAAGAAAGACTGTGAAACATAGAGAAGTTCAAAATGATATGGTCTTAACTGACCATTAATACAAGATGAGAGACAACCTATAACTAAATGCCATCTGGAAATATGTTCAGTACTGCTAGTAACCAATTCTAAGTTATACAAGGTTGTACCATTCTGTATCTATTAAATTAGCTGTTAAACATTGATAAATAATATCCTAATCTGGCAAAATGGTAGTGAAACTGGCAGCCATTCAGTGGGTGGTAGCATAAATTGGTGTTTTTTTAAAAAATCAATTTCACATTATGTATCAAGGGGCCATAAAAGTATTGCTACTCACTTTTAGGAGTTAATTGTAGTTACCTTAAAAGAAGAAAAAGTTCTACATGCATCGCAGTAGTATTTGCAATAAGGAAAAACTCTGAATCAATCTAAATGTCCAATGATAGAGCAAGGACTATGTAAGCAAAGATACTTTAACTAGATGAGGCATTATATATTTGATATAAACAAAGATCATATACAGTCACATAAAAAACTCAGAATGAAAGTGAGAAAGCAAGTATAAAATTATACTTACACAAGGATTATGACTCAGACTGAAAGTGAAAAAGCAAGTATAAAATTATACCTACACAAGGATTACACAAGAATGTATGTAAACAGTGTTGGGAAGGACACCGATAAAATGAAATTAGCTCATGGGTAGGGTGATCGAACTGTACCTTTTCTTCCTTTAAATACCTACTTATGTTAGCTTTATATAATGAGGCCTACACAGTACATACTTGGGAGGAAATAAAATATCCAAGATCAAAGAAAATAAGGACATATACACCCTTGAAGGGTCAGTTTTTCTGAATTGCTGAATTGTTTGGGGCTTTGAATTATACAGCATAACTCAGGAAAGTCTAACAAAGTGATGTTGCGATCTGGTTAGTAAATGAACATTAATTTTCTTTTGCAAAAAATAACATTTCATATACCTAAATAACTTGTTATAATTGTATGTCTGACTAGTGGGAAATCCCAATATTATACTGTCTCTGAAATACTTAACAAGTACTGAAATGAAAAGTAAGCTACCAAGTGTTATTACTGTTTAATAACTTCAGAGATCCACTGTATCAGTTTGCTGGGGAAAGAGGCAATTAGTAGGGCTTTATTTAGACGAATGTTCAGTGCCCTTAGGAAATTCTAGGATAAAAGGTTCATCTCAGACACTTAAGCAAGAGAAAAAAATGTATACTTAGGGGTGATTCTAAGGAAGTTGAAGGCAGATTCTTAAAAAAAAAAAAATTATATAAATACCCATCCCTGCAACTTTTAGAAGGAACATTCTAGTAACTAAATCATTATTAATCCCAAGGAATTTGACAATGTGTTTATTTCAATAGCCCTTTGCTATGTGGGGGCTCTAAGAGACCTGAAAAATCACTGCATCAAAAATCAGCTATATGTCAATTATATCTCAGTTTAAAAAGTCAGAAATAAGCGAGTAATTCAGGGCCTTAAAAACTTTCTTACACTCTACCTTCATTACACATTTATTTGCGGGCAAATGGGAGAGGCAATTTTGCAAACAGAGAACAGCCACAACTTCACAGTCCACAATCAGAGAGCAAACAAATGTTCACTGAGCAGCTACTGCCATTCTATGCAACACACTTGCCACTTTAGGTCTGAACAACATAAAGCCTTAGTTTTAAAAATGTTTCTCTGAAAGAGGCTCACAGATGTAGAGAAGGAAATGGTGGTTACCAGTGGGGAGAGGGAAGGGGGAGGAGCAAGATGGAGGTGGAGGATTAAGAGGTACAAATTGTCAGGTATAAAACAAGCTACAAGGAGGTATTGTACAACATGGGGCATACAGCCCATATTTTATAATAACTATAAATGGAGTATAACTTTTAAAAATTGTGCTATATTCTATACCTGTAACATATAATATTGTACATCAACTATACTTCAATTAAAAAATATGATATTGTAAAATAAATACATAAACTTAAAAAAAAACCCAAAAGACAAAAAATGTTTCTTTCTTCCTTGTGTATTCATTGTCTGTATACTACACACTGTCTTTTAATAGATAATCAGATTATACAAGTAATTTCTCTCAAGTTAACTGGCAATAGCTTATTAAACAGCCACTTTAAAAAATCACAGCTAACTTACACTGTAGACATTTGAACTAATTTTGCTTATTCCTACCGCCTACCTACCCTGTAACTAGGAAAAAGCCCTGTTGTCATTTTCACCCTCCTGGGTCTGAGGTGGCTCGGCCTGGATCTCTGAGCGGATCTGCCCTTCCCAGCAGAGAAGGATGAACAGGAGTGGAGAGAGCTGGACCACTGCCTAACTGTTCAAGGCTCCAGTCTCTGCAATGTGTTATTACTATTCGTTTGCATTTTCAGAATATCAAACATTCCACATTCAAATGCAAACACACAAATTCCAAAGCAAAATAGAAAGTTTGAAGATACTGTCTTGTTTGATTTGCAAATAACTGAGAAGTGCTTATAAAAGCTTTGGCTGCTGCAACTACAGATTAATGGTCCTATATTCCTGGAAGGTGGAATGGGGACAACTTCAGGGGGACAGACAATTTCAGGGGGACAGATGATTTGGATAAAATCACGAAAAAATTTCAAATTCCCAGTTTATCCCTTTTCACTCCCTTCCCCCACTGGTAACCACAAATTTGCTTTCTATGTCTGTGAGTCTGTTTCTGTTTTGTAAATAAGTTCATTTGTCTTTTTTGTTTTTTTTTTTAGAGTCTATGTGTAAGTGACATCATGTGGTATTTTTCTTTCTCTTTTGACTTACTTCACTCAGAATGACTTCGAGGTTGCAGATACTAACTAATATATATAAAATAGATGAACAACAAGTTTATACTGTATAGCACAGGGAACTATATTCAATATCTTGTAACCTATGGTGAAGAAGAATATGAGAACAAATGTATATATTCCTATGTGACTGAAGTATTGTGCTGTACACCAGAAACTGACACAACATTGTAAACTGACTGTACTTCAATAAAAACATATGAAAAACAAATCATGAAAAAAGCAGTGGTCAAGTCAAGAGTAAAACTGAGACGTTGCCTCTGAAACTCTCAGGTAATTCTACTGAATAACCCCAGACTCACCAGACTTATTGAATAGAACTGCATGGTCATAAATATCAGATGCCAAGAAGATGAAACCAGGAAGTGGAAGGGCATGCTATGGGAAGAAACATTTCACGTAAATTTAACTGCAAAAACATTACAGAATAATTAGAGTATCTTTACAATGATTGAAAGTTTTACAAGTTGTTTAACAGGCAACATCAAGAAAGGCAAGTCAGACTTATTAAGTTAAATGTATCCAGTGCTCCTGACCACTTGACACTCTATGGTATGATATCAACCCCAGAATTAACAGTCTGTGCCCTGTGGAGTGTGATGGTCACTACGTACAAAACTAAAAAAGAGAGCCAGCACCTTTTTACTCAACAAAAGAGAATGGGATATGTAAACACACAGTCATTCTAACCTAACGATTTGCCACATTTTACTATTTTTGAGACCAGTTAAGCAAATATAATGGATTTAAAAATTATATGGAATGTGAAGGCAGATTTTAGCATGTTCAGGAAACTAGTGGGAAAAGAGAGTGGAGAACAATATGATGTCAGGGAAAAAGAAACGAAGACAAGAATAAAGAGAGACTGAAGAAGGAAGGGGAAACAACAGGTAAGCAAAGATTAATGGGCTTGGCCACAACCCACAACCACCACCGCCACAATCATAAGGAATCACAGCTAACCTTAACCAAGCAGTTAACTATGAGCCAGGTATTGTGCTAAAAAAGTCATGTGAACCAAACAGAATGTTCCTTTATTTTAAAAATTCCTGGCCACATACTCTAGCTCCCAATTAAATATCTCAAATTGCTCATCTGATACTTCAGTACAAAAAGTTGGCAGGGAAGGAATCCCTGAGGTTGTTGAACCTGGAGGCAACCCTGTCACTGTGACCTTGAGGGGCTGTACTTTGGACATTTTTTAATAGGAAAGAGGGGCGAGAAAGAGGAACACTAGAGGAGGTGGCTCTAGATCAGCAGTTTCAAACAAAGAAGAGTGAACGTATGTAATTAACTAATTAAACTCTCCATCAGATGAATAAAGCCCAACTGAGGAACGTAACTGCTCAAACCCCAACCTCCTCAGCTCTCCCAAAGGCCTGCCTGCACACATGCTCCTTGGCTTGTGGCTCTTGGACCTTCTATTCCCATTTCCGGTTTCCATCTTGGTTTTAACTTGATTTCATCTGTGGGAACCTTGGGTTCCTTGTCCCGTGGGGCAGTACCTGGTTAGCAGACATGTTCTGTTTACACTGACTGATTATGATCACCTCCTGCAGAGGACTGTGGCAGTCTATCAAAAGTGTCAGAGTCCGTGGGTCCCAAAGCACCTTACTGGATAATAAATATCGGAAGGATGGCATATCATATTTGAAAAAACATATCACATATATGTAATTACATATGTGTACATACAGTAATAACTCAGTGATTTTCATCTTCCCCGGGTTCAAGAAATCGCTTACATTATAAAACAAAGCCTCCTTGGAGTGTTTTCCGAATTGTTTGTAGAGAGTCTCTTGGAAAATACCCATCCTTGCTGACATCAGAAGAGCAAAAGTCAGTGCCCCAATACCTAGAAAGCAAACATCCAGTTACAAGACGCCTGCATTTGCAAACTGCCAGATCTTTTCTTAAAGAACACTTACTAAGTTCTACAAATATTACACACTAAATGTAAATGTACAAAATTTAAAAAGTAATAAAAAACCAACCACGATATTACCATCCGATCCTACACAGTTTGCTACGGCTCTCTATGCATACTTATGCATATATTTAATGCTAAGACATGATCATAATGAATATATAACTTTGTATCTTGCTTTCCTAACGATTTTCCCCTAGATTTTCCTTCAAGTCATTCATTAAAATTTTTTCAAAAGTATGATTTAATAGCTGCGTATTATTCTTTCATGTGGGTGCACCATACTTAGATGTCTTACCATAAGAGAAGGGTTAGATTACCTCTGACTATTTCATGATTAAAATCAACTTACATCCTAGTATATAAATCTTTCAACAAAATGTTGATTATTTCCTTAGGATAAACGCTCATAAGTGGGATTACTGAGTCAAAGGTTGTAGACACTTTAAAAAATTCAATACATAATTTTTTTTCCAGAAAGGCTGTATCAATTTACCATAAAATTATATGAAAATAGTCGTCTTACTGCCCCCACCAGCAGCAGTGAGAATAATTATTTTTTATCTTGCCAATAGACCAAAAATAAAAAGGTACTGCATTTTGGCTTCAATTTGCATTTCTCTGATTATTAGACTGAACATAAGATGACTGGACATTAATTTTTTTCCCCATGAACTGTGTGTTCATACCTTTTGCAAGTTTTTCTCATTAGGTAAAGTATTTTTCTAAGAGCTCATAAAGATCTTTCTATGTAAAGAAGAGCAACCAAAAGGGATAAAGTTTCAAAGCCAAGAAGCCAGGAGAAGACAGCTCTTTCATGGCTCCTTCTCTTCCACACAGTCGGCCCTGATCTGCTACTGCCGTCACTGAGCGCACCTGGGAAGGGGTGCCCTCCTGTCTCACACCCAGTGAGGGCAAAGCTCTGTAGGAGTTGTCTGATTAATTCCACAAAGAGCTACTTGCATTTTAAAAAATTCTCCAGGAGATGATTGGTCAGGTTTGGGAACGCTGCCATGTGGAACAGCTTAGGAAGAAAATTAATCTAAGATTTAGAAATGGGTCCCTTGGAAATTTCAAGAGTCAACTGCTGTAATGTGCCATCCTTTTGTAGAAGCTTCTGCTCAGCAGACACATCATAAAGAAATGGATGACACTCTAAGCACTGCTCCCAGAGAGCGTGAGGGGCAACCAGACACGGACTTTACCCTCAGCACCCGAGCCACTGAGGAAAACATCCGTGTTGTAGAACACACCACCGTGAACATGGACATTTTCTCTTTTTCGTTTCTTGAACACTAAGGTTCAGAGGTACATCATCCCAGGTGCCTCTCTCTTCCACGACACAATTTGTTTAGCCGAAGCTTCTTGCCAAGAAACATATCCCTCAGGAGCAAACTCTGAAAACAGAACTGCAGAGGCAATTAGCTTCATTGTAATTACTGTACTTGCCTAGCAACCACCATGCAAATGCCTGGAATCCATCATTCTCACTCGAGCTGGACTCGGAAGTCTAGGAAATAAGAAAAAATACAAGGTACAGAGACCACAACTACCTGCAAGGGGCCTAGACACTAGGGGACCGTTCGTGAGCCACTTCCCTCCACTATTCTCTTTCAGAGGTTTAAACCCTTGTATTACATGAGCATTTACATTTATTGTATCATTAATAAGTACCTGGGCCCCCATGGCAAGTAGTGAATATAAATGATTTGTGAGTAGATTCTTACCACTTGCTTTGCTGACATGAAAGTGCAAATAAATATCCCCACAGACACCAGGGCAATGGAGGTATATTTGAATATACTGTATCTGCAAAAAGAAGAACAAGAAGACTTTAGGGAAGTACAGATATGAATTTCCACATGACGTGTACAGTCAGGCAGCTCATGAGAGTGCAAATCACCAAAACACGGTCGAGGGGAACCACTTCCCAGTAAGTCTGTGTGCCAAAGAATCAGGATGCTGACTGGTCCTAAACAACCCCCTTCCTTAGTGCTGTTTAGAACAGTCAGTTACCGATAGTTTGTGGACCAATAGACTATTTCATCAGGAAATCAAAAAAAGACACAGACCTGACATGAGAGTCCATCCTGCTCTGGACTCCAAATGAACGCCTGACTGAGATCTTAATGGACACCTGTTGCTTTTCTTGGCTTCTGGGGCCCAAACCGGAGTGTGAGGAGACCCACCACGCACCATGCAGAGGAAGAACAGAGCCTCGGGGACAAGCAGCAGGATTCGATACTCAGAAAACAATTCAATTGTCTGTGTTCAGGGAGGGTACTGTTCTTATGCTTTGGAGTGACTTAAATATTGTTTTTAAATGTTGGCATAGCTGAATAAAGGGAGCAATATTAAACTAATGGGGCTATTAGCATGAATAACAGTGGCATTTCACATTAACCAAAATAGCATCAATTAACATCCTTCTCAGGCTCTTGGTGATAAAGCTAAGGGCCTCAGGCAAAAATGAAAACCTTATACACATCTGAAGTTTCCTACTCAAATACTCTGCATAGTTTTGCTCACAGCACCTTATACAAAGGCCAACAAAACTGGGTAAAAAGGCCGAGCAAGGAGCCAAGGGCACCACAGTTAGAGAAGAGGGGTGGGAGAAGGGAAGAGGCACTCCTTGGGGCAGATAGCAAAATCAGGGAACTCTTCAGTGTGGAAAGATCAGAGAGAGAGGTTTGTAATTCAGGCCTAAAAAATAGTGAAGGCCGTGGTTAAGGTGAATATAGATTCAGTCTTCAAATCCTGGAATGAGGAACACACTGTGAACCTGAAGGGGCTCTGCTCAAGGTAAATAAAAGGAGATAAAAAAATTACTAATTCTTGATCTTAGACAGTTTAACTTGGGGAAATTCCTGCTCTCTGACTGATAAACACTGAAGAAGGTTTAAGATGAGAGAGATTTAAGATGACAGACTCAAAACAAGTCCTTAAGGAAAACAGATGTTTGAGAAAGGCCCCTCAAATTTCGGGGCACTATCAGGAGAATACATTCCTTTTATAATATGTTCTTTTGTATCCCTGTTATGAGTCAAAAAATCAAAGGTTAGAAAGGCCATGGTCTGTCCCAAGGTGAACTTTACACTACCGAGAAGCACAGGGTTCACTTCAAGGGTAATGATGTTGGCCACTACTCAAGCAAGCTTGAAAAGAGAGAACCTAGAAGAGGAACCAGCAGCAGCGGTGCTCACCTGGGGGAACATAAGCCTCAGGAGATAAAGATCAGGAGCCTAGTAGGACAGGACAGTTGTCCTTTCAATGACACAGCCCTTATTACTTAAAAACTCTTGGTTCCCACACTGAACTGACAGCTACTTTCCAAGCTGCTTTGAAAAAGCATCCCAGCACTTCTGATATTTCCCAACCGCCCCCCGAAGACAGCCACTGGTGACAGCCCCAAAGAACAGCCCTGAAGCTTTTCATCCCGTCTCCACGGCCACGGGGGCCCTTTGTTACGGATTTTCCTTGCAGTATGTGTGAGGGTCCCTCAGTTCACCATGTGGTTCTGATGAACGCCCCCTAGGACAGCGCCGGCCCTCGGAACTTCTGTGAGGGTGGAAATGTCCACACTGGGACTCTCCACTGTGGTCACCACTAGCCACATGTGGCTACTGGGGACTTAAACTGTGACTAGTGAGATGGAGAAACTACATATTTAATTTCATTTACTTTTAAATGTTTAAATTTAAATGTAAATAGTCACATGTAGCCAGTGGTGACCACGTGGGACAGTGAAGTTTTAGATCCACTGGCTTCGGAGGTTAGTGTGGAACTAAGGATTTAACGATGACAAGAGCTACTTAGCTCAGCGCAGAGAGAACGCTGCGGCTGCTCTCACTGGCCCGCTGCCTCGGGAGCGGGCAGCATTGTCACACAGAGAACTAGGGGCAAACACAGCACTGCGGGGAGAAAGGGAATCCCCACCAGCTCACGGCTGAGGCTCAGGATAGCCTTCCTGCACGTAAAATATTAAAAAGTATTGCTTACCTTTTCTTCAAAATGATAATTCCTAGAATCATGTTGGCAATTAGGGAACCCTGTAAAAAGAGACGACAGAGCTTCAGTGCACTAGGGAAAGAAAACCGCATAATTTAAGATACATATGAACATGGACAAGAGGGGAAAACAGGTGGAAAGGAGGGTGTTAGGATGGAATGATTAGCAAGGTTCATTTGTTCTTATGATGGCAAAAAGTACAAACCATAAAAATCTATCACACAAAATAACAGGAACTTTTAAAGATGACAGAGAATAAAAATGATCACTTCCCACTAAGTGGTCACAACAGAAGCTAAGGCTGGCAGGAATAAATTATATTATAGGCTTATTTTTGCCAAAGTTTCCATCTAATTTATAGGAGCATTTATTTATTTATTTATTTAGTTCTAAAAGCGGTTTTATCAAAAGCAGTTCTTTAAATGCAAAATTAAATAACTATTCTTGATTGGTTTACAAGGGTTCACATGGTACACAGTGAGTCAGACTGAATTTGATACATTTAGCTAGTGGTTTTGGATTACAGGAGCTCTTTATAAACTTCTCCTCACCCACAGTTTTACTGAATGAAGTTGTGCAGGGATCTCTGTTCTCTGGAAAGGCATCAATCAATCAGCAAGTGTTTATTGAAAGTCTACTAGGTGCTTAATGCTTTGAAGGTCATCTTAGTAATTATGATCAGCTCTGGAAAGTCCCATTAGGAATAGCACGTTCCGTCTCACAAAAATCTCAGGCCACACAGAGATGATCTAATTCTAATTTTCACGTACTGTGCATTCTTCTGCGAGCCTAACCACACTCCCCCACTGAGTTTCTTTCCTGTTCCTCAGGAAACACTCTGTTCTCATTTATGTACAAACTAAATGTGGATCTCCCACCATGCATGAGACGAAAACCTCTGTTGCTTTGGGAGAAAATCTACCTCCATCAGGAACCTCCCTTTATCCAATTATCCCAAGTCTCTGCTTTCAAAAAAGTCAGAAAAGGGATATACCTATTTCATGTACTAGAGGTAAATGTAATTTTATGAAAGAAACAAAGAGTGATGACAAATAAGTTAAATAACATTCATAGCAAAACTAAATATAAAATTAACCAGATGAAGGAAATTAAAGGTAAAATCTGTGTCCCGAGGAGATATTAACTCTTCTTTTATTAGTTGCTCGTAAGACCTCTCATAAATAAACATAAACCACCCACCTTCCAATTTCTCTCTTTTTGTCTCACTTCTCAGATGGAAGCCAGCCTCTGCTTACTCCTTCGTAAGACCTATTCTTGTATCTGAGCCTTTACATCTTACAGGATCTTTCTACCTCTTCCATGTGTTTAATGCACCCACTTAGCTGCATCTCCCAGAGGAACGCACGCACGAGCGCCCGCAGCACTTACGGATCTAAATATCATGTGCAGCGGCATGGCGATGTTGAGGTTCAGGGCGTAGTTGTTCACCACGCTGACGGTGAAGAACATGGTCACCATCACGGCATAGTACCTGAGATGCAGAGACAACAGCTCACACCACACAGAATCTGCTATTTCAAGAAAACCAAGTAGAGAAGGAAACGCATACTTCTGGATAAAAATGTATTATGCTTGTGGCCTCTGTATTAAAAGATCGTATCACTATTAGAATGTGAAGTCAAAGACTAGGTACATATGAAAATACTTCACAAAGCCAGACTGATGTGGAAGAAGTCTGGACTAAAGAATGTTTCAAGAAACACTATTTTAATATGTTTCAAGTATGCATAGCAATAAAAATGAGGCTTCAAAAAGTTACCTAATATACATACAGCAATAGGGTTTTTTTTTAAGTGAATAGATAATTATTATTCTGTAAGTTCTTTGTATATAATTTTCATACACGTCTAAAGAACTTGTAAATGGTTAAACTCTCAAATATTTCCTCTACAAACTTGTTAATACCATTGTCACTGTTTCTAAAAATATTTGCTCAGTCAACAGTTACTTTTAGCCTAGAAGCTGTTAAAATTACCCCACCTTCTGAACCAGTGGCCTCCAGATTAATGAGGACACCATTTGACTTATATAGATTTGTATTTAAAATCAAGAAACCTGTTTTTTGAGAATTTACAGGTCTTCGAATAACAACAACAAAAGCTAAAAAAGAATCAGTAATCCTAATCACTTAAAAAGGTAAAGGGATAAACACAAATGAAAAATTATAAATAAATTAAGTAAATAATTTTATATTTGTAATGCCCCTATTTTGATCTAGAAAATCCTTAAGATGCCTTTCATACATATCAGCTTCAACCATTTAAAATGCCATTTTTGTAGGTCAAAAGGGGCTGAACATCAGCAATTTCATATGAACCTAATACATTCAAAAAGAGAAAAATACTATTCTTGAAGTACATGGCTGGAGTGCAAGGCAAAGGTGAGTAAGTGGCTGGATATTTTCCAGGAAAGGGTGGAAGTCTTTAAGCACAGGTCCCCATCCTTTTTCACCTTTGCACATCTGGAGAACATGACAACATTGAGTCTCAAGTGATCTTCCCTGACCAGAGCCTGTTTTGTGTCCCTGGTTAGGCGTGGCACTGTTTGCCCGGAGAGGCAACCATACCAGGGCTGAATGAACACAGTCTGGAAAGTGTGAGGAGCTTTACCACGAATGCAGAGAGCAGAGGGCAGAGTTACTGGTAAGACCTACTTCACAGCCTCTGAGTAATACACTATCGGTGATTTCACAAGGTTTCTTGCCCCATTTTCTAAGTCCTATCTTGAAAGGACGCCATTTGGAGATAAAGTGAGTTCATCAAGTTCTTTCAGGATAATTAGTTTCAGCTATTCTGTACTGCTGCCTGCCTAGCACTGCCTAGAGATCGCTCACGGGAATGAATGACATGAGCAAGGTTTTGATTCTAGCCTCATGGAGAGAAAGCAAAATACCCAGCACGCACTGGACATTGTGGCTGTTAGGACAAGATGATGGGGAGCATCCAAGAAGCATCAGAGTTTGGGCTTCACTCTGAACCTAACGGTGACCCCTGAGTGCTTGTGAGAGCAGGCGTCACGAGGCAGTGGCAGGAAGTTGAAATGGAGGGATGAAGAGGGGACAGGCAGGAGGTCAGCCAGCGAGGCTATTAGTATAAACGTTGTGGGGAGAGTGACTACGCCACGTTCCTGAACGAAACTAGTGGCAGCCAGAGTAGAAAGAAATAGCGCAAGGAGGAGGGAAAGGGTCAGAGGAATCAAAAAAAATGCTGGAGCTCCTACTCTGGTGTAAATGCTGGTCGTGGTAGCAGAAAGTTTCACGCAGATACTAAAGTCAATGGTGGGGGGGGAGGTATTCAGAATATTTAGCATCACATTGGGAAATTTTAAAATATAATATTAGTAACAAAATTCAGCCAGATTTTCTAGAGCAAGCTACTCAGGAACACTGCAACATAATACCAACAAGGAGGAATCCTAACCAGTCCTCTGATGCATTCACACCAGATCGTCCCTCTCAAAGGGATTAAGGGCCGCTAGCCTACTAAATACTCCCCATTGGATAAAAAAATCACACGTTTATTCAAGTCTCTCACGGCAAGAATGCTGAGTCTGCAATACATTGTTTACTGTAAGAACTGCCCTGTTTTTCATTTGGCCCCATGAGTACAGTTACACAAATTCGGACTAATGGATGGAGGTCTGGAATCAACAGTTTTACCTTACCTGAACTTGCCATTCATTTCCTCTCAATTGATGTGAAATTCACATAACATCAAATAAACCATTTAGAGTGAACAATTTAGGACACTTAATACATTTACAATGTTGTGTAACCACCACCTGTATTTCCAAAAGCCATTAGTTTTTTAAAAGAAGCAATGATACTACTCTTACCACATTTGATAACTTTACCAACATGGAGATAATAACATACAGAACTATTTAAAAATTGGTGGTCACACAAGACTTTTAACTGACAGAAACACACACCATACACTACATACGCATAGTTGTCAGAGTTATATTAAGTGTTGTGGCAGGAATTTTATTCTAAAACTAGGCTCTCTATAGAGTTCCATAATGTATTAAATTCAGAAAATGAATTATTCTACTGATATCTTTGACACAAATCTTATAAAAAGATGCCTCATTTCCTTTTATATAGGTACCAGTAAAGCTCTTAACTTTAAAAAAAAAAAAAGGAGGGCTAAAAGAGACTTCAAAGGGCCATACCTTATTGGGATAGCTGGCCGCTTCCTTCCCAAATCAGCTTCAAAGAGGAAGCCTTCCACAGCAATAAATAAAAATTGTGCAAACGTCACAATGTTCCCACATCCTGGATGCCTCCTGCGTAGCAAAGAACATAAAGGAAGAAAACAAAAGGCACCAAAAAACTGAGAGAAAGGGCACAGATACCAAGGAGCAGAGATTTGTATTACCCACTGTCCTCCTTTGTTTCAGTTCTCACCTCCCACAGATGACACGAAGCGCACTAGACCCACAGGCAAGATCACTGGCTTCCCCACTTCGCCCCGCCATGGGAGTAGCGGGCCATGGGGAAGAGTCATGCTGATCATGCTCGTTCTGAGAACTGAGATACAGCTTTCCCAGGAAACTGCGGAAAGTCGGTCATGTGGTCTTTTTTTTTTTTTCCTTTTATGGTCTTGTTAGGATCCTCACTTAACCAAGAGGGCTTTGTTCCAGGTCCTTGTCAGCTTAAGCACAAAGCTCGAGGACAGAAATATGCTCAGGTCTCCTGGGATGTTTTCATAGCCTCTGGGCCCAGAACTTCTGAGACAGGTGTCAACAGAAGACTCGTACCCAGTGTTGATGACAAGGACATCCATTACCTTAGACAGAGCCCCCCACGGCAGCAACAATTGGTTCTTGGTGGTGGGGGGCAAGGAAATCTTAATATTTTTGTAAGTATAAAGCATCAATATACACACAGTACCTAAACCCATATATAGTGTATCTGTGGAGGGACGATTAGGGGAAAAAAGGGTCTTTGGTGGGAGTGGGGGGTGATAAGGAGCGATAATGAGGGGAGGTTTGAGGAGCACTGGAGTCTACTATTCTCCACAACCCTTAACACAGACTAGGCACCCAGTGAAAGCTCATGGAATTCAATCGCCTTGTTCAGTGATCTGTGTAAGGGTGGAGGGAGTTTTCCGCAGTGACTGTTAGGAACATGTCTACAAGGTGGAAATTCCTCTGGCAACCCTCCTGAGGCACTCTGTGAAAGTTCGTCACTGATTACTGAAAGCCTGTCCTCCGTGAAGCTCTGCTCGGTCACTGGAAGAAGTGCAAAGTCAGCAGTTACCTTTGTCTTACCGAAGCTTCCAGATTTCCCACGTTCCCATTATTCCCATGTTATCAAATATAGACTTCATATTCTCTATTTTCATCTTAACCAAGACATTTGCTCATAGCTAGTGATTAAAGGGATTTAACTATATTATTATATCTTAATATAATGCTATTTATTGAAAACAACTCCATTCTCCATAGTGGTATTAATAGGATCACATTCTTGTTTGTTTTGTTTTGTTTTATTGAGGTACAACGTACACATACTGAAAAACACAAATTTTAGGTCTGCTTTCACAGATGCAGACACTCAATAGCCCTGTGGATCAAGACAAGGAGTACTTCCTGTCCTAGGATCACATGCTTAAATACACCCGCCCAGCACAAAACTAAGGCCGAGCGTAAGCCATCCTTGTACAGAGCTGAGCTTGCTACCCTTTAGGCTCTACTGCCCAGGACGGTTCCCTGGAAAACCACTGCTTTATATCCAGCTGCACCATTTCTTTTAGCACTCCTTATGTTCAAGGGACAGGGCGCTACGGTGCCGGAATCCATAAATAATCACGTAAGATGCTTGCCTCATTCAGGGAGCTAATTAAAACCATTAGCCTAAATATGAGTGGCAGGAGGAGGAACTCTGGATTGTTCCTAGCACAGTGCTTTTCAGCTCTGGCTGGGCTGCTCTTTTAAAACCCGTCGGCCTGAAAGCCTCACCCTCCCAGTTCTGATTTCTGATAGGACTGGTCTGGGACAGGGCCCTGGAATCTGTTACTTTTGAAAACGTCCCTCTTGATCCGAATGTGCACCCAGAGTTGAGAACCACCAGTGTAGGTCTGGAAAAAGAGCTGGGAGGTGTAGGAGGGGGTGTGAGTGTGTCACAGGGTTGAGAACCAGTGTTCCCCACAGTGGTTAGAAGAACACAGGGACACACAGGATCCAGCTGCGCCCCTTACCCTGTGGCAGTGGAAGTTAATTACTCTAAGTTTTCTTATCTTTAAAATGGCAACGGAATTAGTGCCTGTCTCACTGGTTTATTGTACAGTAAATAACCCAGTCCCTGAAAAGCTCCTAACAGAGGGGAAAAGACAAAGACTGGAACACTAGAATCTTGCATATTGAAAGGCCTTCAATCTAAGTATAGTAACCCTTTTAAAGACATTTACATTGACCCATTTTTTTCTCTCCTATAAAATGGAGATGTTGTCTAACATCATTGTGAGGATTCAGAGAAAATATGCATCAAGTGCCAAGCACAATACTTAGTCCAAAAGGGGCTCGTCACGTTTCTTGCTTTCCCTTCCATTTTCTCTTTACCAAAAGCTTAAGCCAATTCAACTGGGCACCGTGTCTGGTCTTCACTCAAGCAACTGAACGAATGTAGGGCTGCCTCACTTGAAGCAAACGTGATCTACAATATTCAGATTGTATGAGAGTTAAAAGTAACTAGTTCAAGAAAATGATTCACTTTAAAAGTGTATTCTTCATAGGATTTTTTTAAAAAAGTCATCATAATAATTTTTAATTTCATCTGTTTTTACGGAGGTAGGTATTATTATGCCCATTTTATTGCTAAAGACACTGGGGGCCACATGGCACTGAGTTAGGTAAGTTTCCCAGGGTCACCTGGCAAATACATGGTGTTTGCAGACCCCCTTATTATTGCTATTATTTTTTTTAACAATTCAATGGTTTTCAGTACAGAGTTGTATGGCCATTACCACACTTCTGTGTCCCAAAATTATATAATACCCATTAAGAGTCATTCCTCATTTCCCCCTCCCTTTGACAATTCTAATCTACTTTATCTCCATTTCCATAGGATGTTTATATCTTTCTAATGTACCCACATAATTCGATTTAAAAAATCAACTTACAGAGCTTTTTAAGAACACATTGCTGTACAGCTACCAATGGAACTATTTATTTTAACTTGGATAATTCACTTTAAAACTTCAGAGTAAAAACTTGAATCCTTTCCCCCTAAATCACTTGTTTTCTTGAACTTTATTCCCCGGGAATGATAATCACTAACTGCAAACACTTTCCCTTTGAAGTCTCTTTGGCAAGAATCCAAATTTGTACTTCTTTTTTTTAAAAAAAAAAGCAACTTTGAAGAGAAAGAATTAGGAAGATAGTTTATGACTTCCGTATTTCTTATGCTAGATTTAGAAAACTTATTTGATTAACATCAGGCACTTGATTGGAAAGTAAAACCAGGGAAAGAGAATGTTTCCGATTGTTTTCCTGACGTAAGACACCTCGCCTAGTTAGTGAGCCTGATGGGTGCGGATCCCATTTCCAAGGTGGAAGGTAACCTCTCTCAGGACAGAGATCAATGCACTCATTCATTACTTCATGTCCGCTCTGTATACTGCATGGTGATTTCCATTTTATTATAGGTCCTAATTATAGGTACGAAATCAGAAAGGAAACCCTAAATGTGTTTCTCCAATTTGAAGGAAAATGGTTAAAAATGTTCACTTCTCTCTAGCTGTCACTTTAGCATTTCCATTCACACTTAGTGTCCTAATCCCCACTTTCAAGAGCACCTAATGAGTCCAAGGAAGCCATGTGAGAAGACAGTTCTTGCTCCATAAAAATTTATTAGCCTTCCACTGTGATGTCCCAAGATAAAGTAACATATTATGACAGGAAAAATCTACAAAGAACCTTAAAGACCATCTGGTCCAACCGGCTCTTATTATCCTGATCTGAAACACGATAAGCTGTGAGCTGCCCAAGCAAATCAGGAAAAAGCTGCTATTCGGCCTGGGGTACCATTCTTTAAATTAACAAATGTACCCCTTACCACTTTATGAAAACCCATGGCTGTATGTAAAAATCCAGATTTACAAAAAAGATAAGGAATGATGATTTTTTTTTAACAAATGATTCAAAGTATTCTAAATAGAAGCTCCTATAATGTAGAAAAACATTCTGTAAAGTTAGATTTGCCCACAATTTTTCAGGAACAGCTCAATAAAGCAGGGTCTACGTGTATTGAAACAAAAGTTGTTAGGTAGAAGGGGAACTGACTGGGAGCTTTTGACTTTGCACCTGTGTCTCATTTAATCCTTCCATACCCAGCGAAGGCTGGTAGAGCCATCACCGCCCTCTCACAGCTGAAAACAGACTCGCCGAGATCAAGTAATTCAGCTAAGGGCTTACAACTAGTGAAAAGGGCCTTCAGTTGCTAGCATATTTTGATGTCACACAGCCTTTGGCAAGATTTAATTTAACAGCATATTCAACACAAACATTACAGTATTATTCTCTGACCTTCATTTCCATGGCTGGCCTGATTTTATCACATTTTTATATTTTTAAATCCATTTCCAAAGTGACCTTCCTTTGAAGTGCCCCAGCTGACAGCTGGAGACACTTCTTTTCATTTTCATATCCCTCACCACCTACTTCCAAGAATGACAAATGACAGATCTTTACCAACATTTTTTTGCAAGACACAATTTCAAGCTCTGCAATCATAAAAATTAAATTAAAAAAATTAACCCCACAGAGTTTAACCTTAACTGGTTGCTTCAGAATGACTTAATTAATCAACAGTATCATAAAAATAAAGTACATTTTTTCTAGTAGGCACCACGTCAAAAACTGGGCTATGGGCTGCTGAAGTGGAAAAATAACAGGAAGGTAGAAAACAGTATTGGGCTAGGAGTTTAGATTCCTGGATTCCAGCCCTGGTTCTGCCAATTAAAAGTAGTAAAAGACCATCTAACTTCTTGGGACCTGTTTGACTTTCAGTAAAAACAAAAGAATGTAATTCTTAGCCTATCTTGTACATAAGATTGTTCTGATGGTCAATGGAGATAATGTGTAGATTTAAAAACATGGCGCTACACAGCACCATCGATTATTATTTCACAAGTGGAAAAAGGAAGCTCAGAGATGCTAAACGACTTGAAAAGGTCACAAAGCCAGTGGATGGCAGAGCCAAAGACTGAAACTCGTAACAGATTTTTCAGTCCTGAGCCTTTTCCAGTCCACCTGTTGTTGCCTTTTCTGTAACAGCTTCTATTTACTGAACTTTGCACTTTATTGCTCAACATTATTTGCATGCCACCTCAATAAAGCTACCCTGGTGTCCCTTTGAGAAAGAGTCATAATCATTCTCAATTTATAAAGTTACGCCTCAACCTGCATGCTTCCTAATTTAGTATCTTAATGCTGGAAATGATATCTGCGGTCAGTTGGACCTCATCACTGAGAGAGATGTTGGGCAAAGTACTCAAAACCATCTCTAGAGCCAATAAAACAAATGCTTTGCAGGCCATTTTAATACAACTGAAACTTTCTTCGCAGCCTGTACCAAATCAGACTGCTTTTTAAGTCAAAAAGCTTTGCTCAAGTCAAACATGTGGCAGGATGGAGAAAAGAGCTGGAGGAACCTTGGGTTCCGCCACGAGCTCCCTGCTGACCTTGGAAGAAAAGCTCCCCGGGCTTCAGTCCCTCAGGATGTGAAACGGGGGTGACGACAGCAACACCCCGAGTGTTCCCCTCGAAGGATCCTGTGAAACTATTGGGCGGGACAGCGGGCGGTGCGCAGAATAACCCAGCAGCCGACTCAGCCAGGTCCCAGGCAGCCCAGAGCCGACCCGGGGCTCAGGCGGTCCCACCCCGGCCCCCGCGCACCTCGGGTAGGGGCGCGGCTCGGGAGACTGACACGCGGGGGCGCCCCTCCTCCAGCGTCTGTAGTGCGGCCAGCGGGGTCACTCACCGGGCCAGGAGCTCTAGGAAGATCACGTTACTGCAGCAGCCTGCGAAAACCAGGCCCACCGCGAAGGCCGGGTGCATGGCCGGGCGGCGGAGGGAGCGAGCGCGCAGAGGAAGCGCCCGCCTAGACCGCTACCCCAGGAAGCCTGGCTGCCGCTTCGCCGCGGCACTGAACATCACCACCGTCCCGGAACGCTGCTCTCCTCGGGCCGCCGCAGTCTCCCTCTTCCCCGCGGCCGCCACCGACGCTGACGGAGGAAGAGCTGTAGCTCGCAGTCAGCGGGGGCCCATTCATCCGAGGGGGCGTCCGACTTCGAGCCAGACTACACTTCCCAGGATGCCGCGCGCCCGTACGTCAGGCTGAGAGGTGCCCTCCCTCTGCCGGGCGGCCCCACCGGAGAGGAAAGGGGCGAGGTACCCGTCATGCCTCGCGCGGCAGGAAGCCGCGGGGCTTGCTGGGAAGTGAAGTCCCAACACTGTAAATGTTATTTCTTAAGAGGCCTCTAAGGGCTTTGGAAGGGATTCGTCCAACATTAGCACAACAAGCTCACAGCTGAAGGCACTAGAACTACAGACTTGTGATTAATTGATCATTACAGGTGTTCTAGTATCTGAAAGTTCTCCTGAATTGAGGGAAGGTAGAAATTCCTCCAAATTTCCTTCTCTACCTTTTAAAATAACATCGGACTTAGGAAGTTTGGGGATGAATCTTGGCTCAGCCTCTAATCAGCTGGACTATCTCAGGCAACTTCTTTGAATCTCCATCTCATCATAGGTGAAGATGGGAACAATAATGCCTATCTTACCTGGTTGTTGTGAGCATTAAAAGCTGTGATCACCGAGGGATCTTGTTAAAAGGCAGGTTATGATTCCCTAGACCTGCGGTGGGGCCGAGGTTTTAATAAGTTCCCAGGTGTTGGTGATGCTACTGATCTGTCGAACACACTTTGAAGAGCAGATGCCTGTAAAACAGCTGACTCTGAAGACTTTTCTTTCCTACCCCTTCCACTGGCTTGGTGTGAGCCAACCAGCCAACCAGGCTCCTCTTTCTCCATAACCTACAGTCTTGCCCAAACTAACTTGTCCTTCTCCTTCACTTTAATGTTGAATGTCATTAAAGAGTAATCTATATTCATAGTCTCTGCTTGTTACCCTGATCAAAGCCAGATTATTGGAAGTAGTCTCATTCAGAGTCCTAATGACCTCTTAGTTGTCAAAGCTATACACCACATCTTTCTTGATCTTGCAGTGGCTTTTGACAATTCTTCTTGACATTCTTCTGTCCCTCTGCTTATGAGACATGAGTCTCCTGTTTCTCTTTCTACTTCTCTGATTTATCTTTTTTCAGTTTTCTTTTTGGGTCTTTCTCCTCTGCCCACTGAGTTCTTTCTAAGTTTTGTCATCTGTCCCCTCCTCTTGTTGCCCTGAACATTTTATATTGAAGAGCTCTTCTCCATAACTTCAACCATCACTGTATGTAGCTGTGATCTTATGTGTATGCATACACACAACCCCAATCTCCTGTATGCCTTAAGTCAAAGTTTCCAATGGCCTATTTAACATTCTCACCAATATATCCTTGTACACCCCTCAACATCGGCATATACATAGTTCATTATATGCCCTCTCAAACAGGCCCTTATTTTAAGTAAGGACATTATCCACCACCTATTCTCCTCGGGCAAAACCCTGAAAGACACTCAGTCTTCTTTCCTTTTCTGTCACATATTTATTTTATCTCTCTATCCTGTCAGGTCTGCCTCACAAGTACCTCTGGATTCCAGCCTCTCCTTTCAGTTTCCATTGACGTCCACTTATCCTCTTGTGAAGGCCTCCTAACTTGTCTTGGTACCTTCAGCCTCTGCCTTCTTCAACCCATCCTCCATACTGTCTCTACGCTGTTTCCAAAAACAAACTCAAACTCTTCTTGTCACACTACTATTCCAGGATGTGTGTTCCAGTTATCTACCTAGTACTGTATAACAAACCACCCCAATATGTGATGATTCGAAATTGTAGGATAGAACAAAAAGATTTCGTCTCTCTCTCACAGTTCTTTTTGTTGACAGTGTTCAACACGCAGCTAGTCTGTTCTCTGTTGGGGTTTCTAATGCAGTTGTGGTCAGATGTCACCTGAGGCTGGAGTCACCTGAAGGCTTGATTGGGCTGATGAACAGCTCTCTCTTCGTCGTCTCTCTTTGGCTGGGCTTGCTCACAATATTGTGGACTCAGGATAGGCGGACTTCTTACAGAACGACTGGCTCCCCCTAGAACAAGCCTTCCAAGAAATCAAGGCAGAAGCTGTAGTGGTCTGAGAAGTCACACAGTGTCACTTACACCAAATTCTGGTGGTTCCATTGGTCAACTCAGATTCATTATGGGAGGGAACTAACAAAGGCATCAGCTGTGTAAGTGGGGAAGGGCATCTTTGAAGACTTAGGTATTCAATGTTTCTTGGCCCCTTGTGTAAAATTCACACTCTGTAGAAGGCATACAAACATGGTCCAATCAAGCCTCGGTTTACATTTGTGATTTTGTCTTCTGCCATTTTGGACTCCTGCCACATTAAACACTGTTCTGTGAGTTTATGGTGACTTTCAAAAGTCACATCTGTGCACATGCTGTTCTGGCTGCTCTGAATATCCTTTTCTCTTTGGCCAACTCCTGCTCATCTTCTATGGCAATGAAGGGCAGAGGAGTAAGTAGATACTTCCACACTGTGCAGGGGGAAGGTCTTCTGCTTAGACATCACCTTTCCGTGTGTAACTTTCTAATGCACAATTCATGGCTCCCTCTTCTATATCTCCAGCACTCCATCCATAATTAATCAATCACATTGTATTGTAGTTAACTTATTTTCATGTTGGTCTCCCTCTTTAGACAGTGCCCCTTTGCAGACAGGAACCAAGAATAACTAATTCATCTCTAGATCCTTAGCATTATATTACTGTAACTAGTATACAATATGTACATATACTTTTTGTTAAATGAATGAATGAATGAGCTTGACTTTATTGAGTCAACTAATTCACACCTCATAAATTCAATAAATATGTAATATTTTCCAGCTTGACTAATTTCTAAAATGTAAACATCAAAAATGCACTGCTCAATGAATTGGCATAAACAGTGATAGATAACCAATACCCTGGCCAGGAAACAGAACATTACCAGCACCCCAGAAGAATCCTGTGCCCCCTTCCAATCACTAATCCCCTCCACGAATAACCAGTTTTCTTAATCTCTAGCACCAGAGATTAGTTTTGCCTGGTTTTGGACTTTACAGAAATGGAATCATACAGAATATTTTCTTTTGTTTCTGCTTTTTTCACTCGACATTGTTTGTCTGTTCATCTGTGTTGTTGCATATACTTGTAGCTCATTTATTCTCATCGCTGTGTCTCATTCCCTGGTGTAAATATACCACATTTTATCCCCTGGTGATGGACATTTTGGCTATTATGAATAGTGCTCCTATGAAATTTCTTGTACATAGCTTTTGGTGAACATAAACACACATTTCTGTTGGATGTCAGTGGATTCATCAAAGTCCTCAGTCAAGAAACAGAAATCACAGAGTGAACAAGAAAAGCTTAATACAAGGAATTATTAATTAGTAACAGAGGGTTAGTCACAATAAGGGGTTAAAAACTCCCAGGATTATAGGAATAGCAGTACTGCCTAGGACTGAAGCAGGCTGCCCAAGGAAGGAACAAATTTGGAAGAGGGCCTTTCCTCCCACAAACTGAATCTCAGGCTTTACTGAAGAGGGCATGGCTATAGCCCTCTGGCCAGCAGAGAAGCTCAGTAAAATACTGATAAAACTAGCTACGAACCACCCTCTGGAGTCCAGCTGCGGCACTGGCCAACTCCTCGGGAACCGCTGCTGGGGGCGATGTACTTTCTAGGAAGCTGGCTAGGGCTCCGGCAGAATGTCCTGGTAACCACCTGTATGGGTAGCACTGAATTCAGCAAGGTGAGTGCACGGGATGCCCCATGGGCTAGGGGAACAAGAAAAGAGGAAAAAACACCAGAACCAGGAAGACCAGCCCCTACCCCGCAGTGCTCCTGCAGCACCGTCCATGACAAAGGTCCACGTTGCCCCACCTGGCAGAGGAGAGGTCACCAGAGGATCCTGCCTCAGCACCACAAGCAGGGCCATGAGGGGTGGATCTGGAGCCAGAAGGCTGTAAATTGACAACTGGGACACCCCACGGTTTTGGGGGTTTTTTTGAGTCATTTCAACTTTCATATTTTAGTTTTTTCATCATAAAACCAAAGTTATGAAGTGTAGGCAAAGCTTCACCTCCCAGACTTCTTTCTGCTTTCCCCTCTGAGTTCAAAATTCTAGCATCTTTGAACAGTAATATCTTAGACAGAAGCTGGGCTCAACATGTTTAAACCTTCACATAATTCACTTTCCTTGGGAGGAAGGACCTATCGCTTTGGGAATGTTCATCATTTTTGCCCCTGTGTTGTCAGCAGGAAAAAGCTGTCAAGGTTGTTTTAAAAGCCATTTTTGTTTCTAGCTCCAGCCACTCAGACATATTTTGAATCATTTATTAAATCCACTTAACCACGTTGTTGACAAAAAATTAAGTAAGATGGCTCCTTGTGGGATACTGCTTGACAAGTGTCCTCAAGTCGACAACCTACGGAGATTTGTCACTTGATTTTTTCTTAACTCATTTTCATATTTATCACGTGAAGATGATTTTCTCCTCTCTATCACATAAATCTTGAGATGCTTGGAGCTATATACAGGAAAGGCACACTATAAATATATGTAGGGTATTATTTATTAAGTCAAATATTTCTGTTACTTGTTTCATACGTCAGATTCAAGCAGTGGCCCCATGTGTTGATAGATTTATGTAATCTAGCTTCTTCAAGGATGTTATCCAAAGACAAATGACCTTTTTCAGGGTACTATAGTTAAGGCACATAGAGTTTTGGCCTGGAAGGACGCCTTCTCGACCAGAATGTTAGTGGCATTAGGTCAAGGACTTTGTCTTATTAGCCACGGCACCCCCCACATCTAGATGACATCATGGCACAGAATGCTCAGTGAGTATGGTTGGAAGGTGAAAAGGAAGGAAGAAAGGAATGGGGAGACAGAGGGATGGAGAGACAGAGGGACAGAGGGATGGAGGGACAGAGGGATGGAGAGACAGAGGGATGGAGGGACAGGGGGATGGAGGGACAGGGGGACGGAGAGACAGAGGGACGGAGAGACAGAGGAACGGAGGGACAGAGGAACT